CGAGGTTGGCATCCGGCACCAGAGGCGTCCAGGTTCTGCACGATTTGTATATGTCTTCAATCTGCCAAACCCGAATCTAACCAAGCTGTGTGGGAGTGGCGCCCGCGCTGAAAGTCTCTAGCTTTTGCTCGTCTCGTGTCTTCCCCGGCGGTAGGATTGAGCGCATACCGACTTGTCCAGCTTTTGCAGAACTTGAATCAAAGCATAACCTAGACAGCTCCGGAGGAGGTTTGCACTGCTCTGAGTACTTTGCTGCTTTCACCGCAGATTGCGCTTGATCGAGCGGACGTACAAGTCGTCACCGAGTTCATTTCAGATCCCAACGACCCGGATGCGGACCCTGTTCTCCTTCATTGGCGGCGACGTCTTCTACTCGAGCAGACCGGCTTGATTCGGACCAAAAACCGGGCGTTGCTGGTTCTCATGGAAGGGATCAAGGCAGAGTCTCTGCTGAGCATTCCCGGACAGAGCCCCCCCCGTTGCCCTGGAAGATGGTCGGAGCTTCTTTACAGCCTCGGCACGCCGAAGTCCGTCTCAGATGATAGCAATGTCATCCAGCATGGCAGTGCTCTAGCGGTGGTCAGAAAGCTTCTCTTGGGAGGTGTGGCGAACCTAGACGACCGTGCCGTTCTGGCTGAGCATTCTCCCATCTTGCGCCGATTGTTAGATCACTACGGGTCCACCTTCCCCACCTTCTTCCTCCCAACCCTCCACCATCTATATCGGCTCACTCTATTTGGCCGCGGAACGGTCGGCCTAGGGGTGGGACGCGCTGGGATCGCGCTCTCTGCCATCGAGGGGCTAGACATCTGCGTTTGGTCAACGCGAGACAGAGTAGAGCGGCCGCACGCATGGTCCGCGGACCGCCAGCAAGCTTTTGCATTTTGGGAGGCGCGGGCAAATGCTTTGCTACCAGCGGTTGAGCAGCTCTCACAACCAGAAGCTGGGGTCTACCCGCTCTCAGTACCAGAGACAGCGCTTTGGAACGGGCGGCTAGGCCTAGAAGCAGGTGGAAGCATCCCTCCCAATCTACCTCTCGATCATCCCTTCTGCAAAGAACAGCGCCTGCTTGGCTGCTATCCTCTGCTTGGCTGGGAACAGAAGCGCCCTCTGCCGCAGTACAGACCTTTTGAAGACGAGCTAGGCAGATCCATCGAACGGGCTGAAGAGCATCGATGTAGAGGGGGGCTCACAGTGGGGGAGTTTGACGCTGAGGTCGCGACTCTCAGCAAGTCGAAGTCCGCGCAGCGTCTCCAGAGACATACCAAAGGGGGCTTCGTGTTCTGCTGTCCTCACCGAGTAATTTATGGTTTCCATGCCATGCTTCGAGGAGAGTCGCCGCGCGATCCATTCGCCGTGCTGTACACACGACTACATCGACACAATCTGCCTCGCTTTGTCTTCTACGACAATGCTTGCAAGCTGCGAGCCTACTGCATGCGACGCGAGCCGGCATTTTTTGCGGACGTCCGATTCCTGGTAGACAGGTGAGGTGGAGACAAGCTCTTCTTCACTTCTTCCGTGTTGCCAGCAATTGTCTCTATATCTCTTTAAACGTCACGAATTCACATTCTGCAACATTTGTTGGGGCATGGCAGGTCTGGCAAGTACCGTGCAGAAAGTGGCAAGTTGCGTAGTATCGTTTGACCGTCGTCTAGTATCTCTGCTGAAGGTGTCTAGGTTCTGCTCGTTTTGTATTTTCCGTTCAATCTGCAGAAAGCTAGACGAGCCATGTGTGGTTGCCGTCCGGCACCCGGACTGGTCGTGCACGTCGGATTGCTTGACATCGTGAAGATGTTGACCGTATGATCAACTCGATCAACGCGTTTTTTCTTGAACCAATCAAATAATTGCGCAATGTTGCGTACAGGTTCCACTTTCAGCGAACTGGAGCGGAGGGACACAAGTGCGGACCAACATTCAACCCGGATTACTATGACGTAGTGCGTTGGGTCAACACTTCGGCTGTCGAGAGTTGCAATTCTTTCCTCGTCAGGTTTAAGACGCTAGGCTGGTACTCTGGGCTCGAAGCTTTCATGATTATTCTAGCCAGTTTGGTGAGTGGCCGAAATTCAGAACTCGTGCGGGTAGATGACGCTAAGATGAGAGTAGCGGGTAACGTACGCTGGTGGACACCTTTTGTTCGATATTGCCTATTACACTAAAACAGTGCCACTGAGATTGAATCATTTTTTATGATCCCATACATTAGCATGTGGTAGTAGCTCATGCTTGTATGAGACGTTGCAAACTCTCTCATCGTATCACACATATTTGATGATCAACATGTTGGCGCAGGAGAGCGGCAGACCAAAAGACCAGAAGCCCGAGATTCTCAACCTTTTTTATTCTACAGAGAGGCACTATATCATTGGGTTATTCATTGAAAAATGAAATGAAAAAGATCTAGAATTCTGGTCTTCTGGTCTTTTGGTCTGCAATCATATATTTATCACTGATCTAGAATTCTAGTCTTCGAAACCTCGTATTCTAGTCTTCTAGTCTGCGATCAAATGGCTGTCACTGAACTATGTCGTTGAGGCAGAATAGGATTTCAAACCAAAAGACCAGAAGCCCGAAATTCTCAATCTTTTTTATTTCACAGAGAGGCCTTACATCAGTGAGTTATTCTTTGAAAATGAAAAGAAAAAGATCTAGAATTCTGGTCTTCTGGTCTTTTAGTCTGCATCCATATGGTTGTCATTGAACCAATCCAAATGAAGCAACACGAGAGCCATGTAATGTGCACAAAAAGTATCGTCGTTGCCCAATCATCCATCTGCCGTTTCATGCATAAAATCAGGTTTCAACCGCACTCCACTAAGACCCTTGAATTGCCCTCTATCTTGTACAGATCTATCCGTAAAACGACCGTCTTCGAGTCGATAGTTGGCTCCGTCGGCATAGAGGAGAATGCGTTTTTTCAGGGCTTGAGCGGTCAGAGAACTAGAGATCTCCTCCTCCTTCATCCAAGCTCGAAAAGCATCACCAAGCCTTTTTCCTAGAGCTAGGTGCCACTTCGCACGTACACCCTCTTGCATCTCTTCAAACTCGCAACACTCCTCAATGAAACGTTTGCCAACATCGTTGTCGTTGACATACGCCTTCAAGGCGTCTTTCATAGCCTTTGGTCGTTTCTCTAGGACAAGAGCGCTCGGATTCGCTCGTTTCAACTCAAAGTAGCGCTTTGCCCCGGCTGCAATCCATGAAAGTCCATCCTCTCGACCTTCGTCGGACTTCAAGTAAGCTTCCAAGGTAGGATCTTTTGGCTTTTCTCTGGTTTTCCGCGGATCAACATCGTCGGCCGACTTGAAAATCACTGTCATTGGAAGGAGGGCCATACGGCGGATGAGACTAAACGATGTATTTTCCATAATGGGCTTGTAATTGGTGTTCAGAATGGCCTTATGGGACACCATAAAGGTCTCTTGCTTGCCTTGAAGCTCTCTTGCCGTGATGGAGCCGCCTCCAGACAACTCCTTGATTGTTGCTTCGTTAAGGACAGACTTTTTGCTTGACTCATCGGATTCTGCTAACCTCGCTCCCTTCAATGCTATCAGATGTGATGAAGCTGAACCAGGAGACCGCTTGCCCCCCGCTTCAATGATGAGATCCTTGTCCATGACGACTGCATACGATCCAAAGATCTCGAAAGAAGCTATTTTCGTGAGAGTTTTACCATTACTCCCCTCTCCTTGCTTGACGAGAAATATCTGTTCGCTTGTATCAGCTGTCATGCAGTAACCGAGATACAGTTGGTACCAATCAAGCACTTCTTTGTCATTATTGAAGCACGCTAGCAAGAATGAAGCAAATCGGGACTCGGAGTTAGGCATTCCGCGAAAAGCTACCTTCGAAGCTCGCGAGCACAAGTGTGCAGGATGGGGCATAAGCAGAAGTCCAGTTGTTGTGTCCAACACTCCATTGGCACATGCAAACAGATTTGGATTGGCGAGGTCCATCAAAGCATCTAGATCCTCCTGAATCTGCAGCGAATTGAGAACGTGTTCAAGACAGACGCGCACTTCAGAGCCCCGCGTTAGGTCTATAAGCTGACATGCAGAGTCACCTTTTGAAGGAAATGGTAAGTTGGCCGAGACTAGCTCCCACGCTCGGCGGCATGTGCGCTTTTCTTCTTCGCTCCGCGGTTTGGTTGCCCAATCTGGAAGAGTGTATTCCGAAGCTTCTGATACACATTCCCATTCCGTCGATTCCTTCGCCAGCTTCCAAATCTCATGCTTGAATGCCGCAAGTCGTAGATTCGCATACCATTTCAAGATTCGCGCGATGTGGCTTGAAAAGACCGACTGTACATGAAAGGATCCATCCAGAATCCAGCGTCGTCCGTTCCAGTATCTGAAATTCTTTCCTTCGGCAAGAATTCGTCCATCAACGGCGTAGATTGCACTAAAAATAGCAGCCATCCCTCGATAGCGTTGCATAATGTTGCGTTTGACGATATCCACATACAATTGGTGTTCAACCTCGGATAAAGATCTTCGATTATCAGGAAAAACCGAATGGTCGAATGTTGGATGCAACTTTATAGGATTTGCATCTAGCAGTGAGTCCGTCAGGCTGAGACTTCCAACTTCTACAAGCGGCTTCTCTGAACATTCGGATCCAAAGCATCGATAAAGCACAACCCAACCTCGTTTTATCAACGTGAAATTGTTTGAACCATTGTGGCAATGTCCATTGATGCACCTTCGTGGGCCGTTACAGACAAAGGAATACAATGAACCCATTGGGCCACGATGCGAAACTTTTCCACTGAAACGAACGTTTCCGTCCAAGCCACTATTTTTAAGTAATTTCATCATCGCATCCGCAATCCGACCCTCATGGTCCTTTGCGTTTCGTGTG